TGGTTTTGATATGTGTATGTAACACACAAATATTTTCAAACAATTTTTACATTTTTCCAAAAACATACTTCCATTCATAAATATCATAAAAATGTCATTGTATCATATAACAACCATAAAAACACAATCCCGAGATCATAATGCATAAAACCTCCTCGTGTGTGTACTGATCATGTCGGCGCCTTCTGCGATCCTCACTGGTACCTGAAACACATAACACAACACTATAAGCATAAATGCTTAGTGAGTTCCCAAAAATACCACATATAACACATATTAGCCACTCAAGGCTATAACTCTGTGGACCCTCTGGTCCTAACTCTGTGGACCCTCTGGTCCTAAATCTGTGAACCTTCCGGTTCTAACTCTGTAAACTCTGAAACATACATAGCATAAATCACATAGAAATCATGCAGCGTATCACATCAAATAAATAACATACAAAATACTCTATCACATAACTCTAAGTACCACTCTAGGTAAAGTATAGTGAGAAGACTCACCTCGGGTAACTCGGAAAATCTCGAAATCTGTAAAATCTGATCTAGCCTCGGCCTAATCATATGAAATAAACACTCTAAATCAATATATCTGCAGGTAGCTCCAATCGATATGCTACCTTGCCCACCCTCACGATCACCCTGAACGACCCAATGTACCGGGGCCCCAACATGCTTCTTTTCCTGAATCGAATCACTCCTTTCCAAGGAGACACTTTTAGAAGTACAAAATCTCTGACCTGAAATTCGAGCTCGGATCGTCGCCTATCCGCGTAACTCTTCTGGTGACACTGAGCTGTCAACAACCTCTGCCTGACCTGTTGTATCTGCTCTGTCGTCTGGAGTACCAACTCAGTGCTACCCATCACTCATTGCCTGACCTCTCCCCAACAGATGGGAGTCCGACACCTCCGCCCATACAATAACTCAAAGGGAGGCATACCGATACTGGAATGGTGGTTGTTGTTATAAGAAAACTCAGCCAAAGGCAGATAGGTGTCCTAACTCCCTCCAAAGTCCAACACACATGCCCGAAGCATGTCTTTTGAGTGTCTGAATCATCCGCTCACTCTGTCAATCCGTCTGCGGGTGGTAATCAGTATTGAAATGTAGCCTAGTACCCAACTCCTCATGGAACTTATTCCAGAACCTGGAAGTGAAACACACATCTCGATCTGACAC